CAATAGCCATGTTCGTTATTTACGCTCATAACAATGATTTTGAGGGAGTGGCTTTTATGGGAAACCTGAAGGGATTTAGTGTTGCAGACTTGGCGACCCTCTGGCTTGATTTAGCTCATTGGAACAGTTCAGTGTAGGAATACAAACATACAGCATTTGTCGGCGAAAGCTAGAGAAGATCAATACAACTGTCTTTTAATATGATATGAAGCTAGAGCTGGTTAGCTTAGCTTAGCTTAGCAAAATGACTGGAGGCAGGAGGAAATAGCTAGCTTTGCTCTGTCCAAACACCTTTCAACACCTCCACAGTATGTTAATGAGTTAGCTTTAGCGGTGTTGGTAGGTGGAATTTGTTACCTTTGATCAAATTCAGGATAGCTTCAGACATATCATGAAAACCTGACTTTTTGGAGTGCCAGTGCAAATACATTTGGGTATCCAGAGTGCCTACCAACCCACAAACTGAAATAAGACAAGCCAGTCACTTTTTGGAAGGCAACAGCGCTGATTATTTCAGACAGAGGGTAAATTCAGATGGACAGAATGAGAAAAATAATGTGTTTTTGAACATTAAAGCATGTTAACGTGTTCTTGTAGAAACCCAAAATACAAATGTGAACCTGAAAATGAGCATGCTATCTCCTCTTTAAGCTAAGCTAACCGCCTGCTGGCTCTAGCTTTAGCATACAGGCATGACAGTGGTGTCAGTCTCCTCACCAGACTCTTGCTAATAGAGCGAATACATGCACCCTATTTCCCAACATGTCAAACTACTCCTTTAAGGGACAAATAAGAGTGCACCAGTTCTAAATGTGTAACATGTGGCAGCAAAATCCCTTTAAAGTATGAAAACACAACTTAGAGTAAATCTGCCTGTTTCCACTTTACATCTGCAACACGCATATTGTGATACCCTGGATTTACTGTGTGTTATTTATGATGTTTGAACTTTGGAAATCTTACACTAAACGCTCAAATAGGATTTTAAGACAACATAGCTCCATGCCAGACCACCTCCACGGGCCAATATATTTCACCAGTAATGTTTGCTGAAAACAGCATGTCATCGCCCGAAAAGTTAAATCAAATTTAGGGGAGGCTGGGAAACAACTATGATAGTGTATCTAGCTACCATAATAATGTCAGAGTATGAAATATCCTTGTGTGTTTGCCAGTGTAAACACATTACAGCAATAGTAACAATCTGCTGCCTCTTCCCCCCCCCCTCATCCCTTTAGCTTTGATGGTGGTGAAGCACAGCTGTGGGCCTTGGTCCGACGTGCGATGTGTTACCATGCTTTGTTGCTTAGAAACACCTCACCTAGCTTAGACTGGGGTCAGTGGCTGCTAAACGGTGCGTTTTTCTATCCCCGCAGCAGTCATCGCTTTGTCAGCTTGTGACTCTGGGCCAGTTCTCACCGTACAGCTGGGTCTCGCCACTACATCGGGTTCAAGCCTTGTCGCCGGCGTGGTGAGAAGCTGGATCTGACGCTCAATGACTTTGAAAATGCACTTTAAGATTGGTGCGTTTTGAAGTGTCTTTGCACAATGGATTTTTTTTTAAAACTGGTGTATTTTAGGGTTGAATTCATTGAACAAAGGGGAAGGAAAGTCTGAAGGCATGTGTGAACACTTATCCCTGTCACACACACACACACACACCCTCAAATGAACTACGCCGTTAGCTTCATGATGGACAAGCAAATCGCACCTCGAAAATGTCTTCATCTGCCGAATTCCCCAATAGTTTTACATGTCAAAGGAGCTTTATCCTCCGGCTGACTGGAGCGATTTTCACATTGAGAGAATAACCACGAAACACCCTAATGAATGTGTTTCATACCAGACGGACTAATATCCTCTGCCTGTATATCATCAGTCTGTCAGTGTGTACCTCTCCTCCCTCTGCTCCGACCGTAAACTATGCCTTCTCCGTGGAAGGCTTGACACGGAGCGGGCCTCGGGGTCGGCCTCAAACCCTGCCGGACTGTTAATGGCCTCCTCTGTTATCACTTCGCCGCTACTCCTCACACCTGCACTCAAGAATAACATTTACCCTGTCTGTCATCATTGTATGGTGTGCGTGTGTGTGTGTGTGTGTGTGTGTGTCTGTTTGTGTGTCCCTTCCTTTGCATCAGACTTTAAATGATGACTTCCATTCTCCCCTTCTCTCAGGTGTCTTATTAGAGAAGGAATAGACAAGCCTGTGTGTGAGAAACGGATCTTTCTCAGGAAAAGTGGGAGCAAAGAGCTGAATACCAGCACAGAACCGAAAGCTCCCTGGTCACTCATAATATTTCAATTAAGGGCTACTTAAATGCATGAGCACGCGTGCGTGTAGTGCTTGCTTTGCTCTGGTTTGCGCATTTGTCTGGAGGCCAGATAATATTTGGCTGTGTATATATGAGGAGGAGGACGTGCGATCGTCATTTATTGGTTGAATTTGGGGGTGTCGTGTTGCCTCATGCGTCTCTCAATAAGCTGCGATAAGTATGCTATCAACTCGTGGAACAAGATGTGATTGCTTTCATTTAGAAAAGTAACAGTTAAGTAATTTCCTCCTGAGAATGTAAACATGAGCAGGGAGAAAGAGGCAGAAACAGATTGAGAGGGACTGAGAAAAACGGGCGAGGCCAATGTTTTCCTTGTCTGTTTTCCGTAGTTTGAGGAGTCTGGGGAATCGTCTATAATGAGAAATAGAACAACTGGAGGATGGTTCTTTTCAGTTCTCACCCGTGAGAAGATCAGCACAGCAGGTTTTTCTGAATACAGATGCGTCGCATTTCCATGCATTTGATCTCTCAATTTCCTGAAATTCAAATGAGAATTGGTTTCGCCGTTGCGTTGTTTTCAACAGCAGAGCAGCATTAGTAAGCCGGGCTCATGTAGATGTGCATCAGACAGTCGCCTGGAAGACAATCTGTTCACTAGCTTATGCTCACTGAAGATGACCTGATAGAATTGTTAAAAGCCTTAGTTCAAGAAGTGAAAAGATTGATACCACACACACAGTACATACAAAGCATAGTAATGTAAAAGCTGACATTTGAGAGTCATTTAGATAATGTCATACAGTTACAGTAAAGCTTTGCAATCCAATATATCAATCACTTTTTTTATATTTCTTAAAATCAGTTACATAGGGCATGAAATGGTTAATGCGGTTTTCTTGATGTTGCAATGTTCAACTGCTTGAAGAAAGTGACTCATAAGGATTACAAGAAAAATGCTATTGCCTCATTTGGATTTGCAGAACTTTGCTGACATTGTCACTTTTGAAACGTCCTTGTAAAAGTGGCATTGAGGCAAAGTTCACTAGAGCATGACGAATTAGAAGATCATTAACAGTGTCTTCTTCTGGGTTCTGCAAAATGTAGATTCTGCACATTCTTTTTGGATACTGCTACCCATAATAATCTTGTCTACCTGATTTCATGAATGCACAGAAGAAACACGCAATTAATGGACAAAAACTGGAAAACTTTTGAATATAAAGCATCTCAATACAAGAGTTGTCCGTCTTCGTATGTATTTATTTGTTTAAAGGGACAAATTGGTTTACCTAATTTCTCAAGACATCCTTTGTTGTGCTGTTGTCCTGAATTACATTATATCTTTTTTTCCAGTATGTCTGTCATTTTGTCAAATACTTTTGCATTTCTTTACTCTCAAACAAGAGAAAAGCAACCGGTTTATTTGTGTGTACAGTGACTCTTGGCTAAGAAAACTGATTTTGAGGTTGTTGTTAAATGAGTGAGCAAAAATATACACAATACTCCTTGTTTCATTTGAATTATTGTATTTAATAAACCACCCCTACATTCAAAAATATCACTTGCAATAGTTGATGTTTAATCATTTAGCAAACTATGGAAAAGAGGGGCGAACCAATTTTGAGTTAGTGTGATAAATGCAGTGCGAAGATATTGTGCAAAGCAAATACAATACATAAGCCACCACTGAGCCGGTTTCCTAATGTATTTAATGGGGTCTGTAGAGATTCCCTGTTGTGTGCAATAAATCTCAATTTGCTAATAAATGCAAATCTTCTCAGCATCCTCAGTATGGTCTTCATCATCCCCGAGGAGAACAAATGTATATTATCCCCAGTTGTAGCAGTGAATGCCTCCATAGCAACTAAGCTGCTCTGCAGACTTGTTAACGTGTATCTGATGCCATCTAGTGGACACAGAGGGAATTGCTGTGTTTGGTGTAATATAATGTCTGCACAATAGGGGTCACTGTACGTTTTTTTTTTAAATTTCCTTGTTTATTCACCCTCAGAAGGCCACTTTGGATTACAGTGGGAACTAACCTGCTCTTAGTAAAACCACCACTAGATGTCAGTGAATGACTTGAAAACATAGAGAGTGAGTTGCTGATTCGGTATATTATTTGCTATCCTTACTCGACTCATTTGTGGACAAAGTGAATACTGCCCCCTCCTCCTCACCCCTAATTAAATCCCTTTCATGTACAGCATGTGCTGTATCCTCCAAGTAGCTTCCCCGCCTCCTCTCATATGTGCAGTGCAACATTCACATAGGAAATGTTTGGAGATATTTACACCACTATGCAAATGATAGCCTCGGGGCGAGAAAAACAAAAACAACAACGCCGAGACACATTCGCAGAGAGAGAGAGAGAGAGACTGAAGCGAAGGCAGACGCTTGTCCAAAGGCCTGTGTTTAGCTGTTTTAGGTTTCATTCGTTGGTCCACTCCCACAGCTTTGGGAGGAGCTTGATGGCTGCTCAGCCCAATTGGGCTTCAGAACTTGGTACCAAATATGCTAATTATTCATAAATCTACCAATCGCAAAAGCTGCCTGTAGAGCACATATTCAGTTTCCTCATCCCCCAAATCTAATGTGAAAACCTGAGATATTTTGAGATACTGTGTGTGTGTGTGTGTGTAACTATGTATAGGTGTGTTTGTGTGTGTGTGTGTGTGTGTCCCACACTGTTGATGGGTGCATAGAGTGTTTTTCTTCTGCTTTCAGAGGCCAGCTGTGGGGCAGGATTACACCTCTTTCTCTGTCCTCTTCCCTCGTCCTCATCCCTCTCCACCCTCAGCTCTCTCCTTCCTCCTGAGTGGATTTTATTTTTCTGGAGGCTGAGCCCCCCCCCCCCCACCCCTGCCTCTCAGATAGCTCTGCTCCACCAGTTGCGCTCTGTGCCGGCCTGGAGAGGAGTAAGGGAGCGGAAAGAGGCGAGAGAAGTGAGGATTTGGTGAACCGAGGAGAGACAGACAGGGGAGAGGGACCATGGCTGCTCTCTCTGCCTTGCTGAAGACCTGGGTAATACTGCAGACCTTGTGCCTGGCTCTGGCCCAAGTGGTGAGTGGACCGGGGAGTTTAAGACCTGCTGTGCTCAGGCTTAGCTCCTTTTTATTCTGGGGTTCAGGGGGGTATTTTGGGCCCTGGAAAGGGCCAGCGAGCGCTGGATGTCTGGAGGTGATTTTATAAGTTGTGTTTTGTCTTGGTGCGAGTTGAAGTGATCAAAATGCTCAGGGTTGAACCAACACAGGTCTATTTGTGATGATCACCTGGCTTCATAGCATGCATGTAAAAGAAAGAGCTATAATGGGTTTTCTGCTGTGGAGACAAAGTGGTACTGGACTCTATGAATCCTCTGTGGATTGTTTTTCCTTATCAGGTGTGGACTCGTATACCTCTTGAAGATGTAACAGAGGAGAACTATTAAAGGAAAAGGGTTTGCCGTTATCTGGGTTCTTTTTTGGGGGCTTAGAAGAATCAAGAATGGAGGAAAATGTTGAATTGCTTCTTCTTCTTTTTTTCAATCAGTGAGCAATTGCCACACAAGCACACAAACAGCCTACAACACACACACACTAACTGTATCCACTGAGCATCAAAGCCCTGCTTCAAACAGACACCTACATGTTATCTACTGGACGTCTGACGTCGTTCACTCTTTGGGATTATTCAGCTTCCACATTTGAAGAATTCAAAGTTGGATTTAAAATGTTTTTTTAACATCTGATGGACTGACTGATCCTCTGAGATGATATTTTGGGTTGTGGGGGGTAAACTGTGCCAGTCTCGTGACCCCTCCTTCCACATTCCTCCTCATTCCTTTGTTTTTTCCTTGTTTTGGTTCCTTTTTGGTGTTTTTTTAGTGGGATGCTTTCATACAACACAATACATGCAGTAGCCTTGAATTGACCCATTTGATGTAGGTCCATCCTGCCTCATATGACATGTTAGCAAATAGTGTTTTATCGTTTATTTGTGTAATATTTTTAGCATGTTTTGATGTAATTGTACCTTTTGGTATTACACCTTTATTGTGTGACCATAATACTCATTATGACGTATAATAAATTGCACAGTACTATGATAGTATCTGTTGTTTGTCATGTCTTGTCGGTCTTAAACTTTCTTTCTGCCTGTGTTTCAGAGGGGTCCACCTGGACCTCTGGGCCAGGCCGGCCCACCAGGCCCCTCTGGCATGCCTGGGTCAGACGGCATTGATGTGAGTATCCACACAGGTTTGCCCAGCAGATTTTGTCACAAAGACCATCATTGTGCTGGAGAAAATACCAACACTGTGCCGCTCCGCAGTACTGGAGTCTTACCAGCAGGGAGCACTACAGAATGACAACACATTGGCACAAAAGAGCTCTGTTCCCAGCAGAGAGAGGTTGCCTTTGAGAAGGGACCCCTTGCCTCAATCCTGAGTCTGTGTCACAGTAATGTGATACATTTGAGATATTCTCAGGGTTAACTACACACAGCTTGTATAAATATGTGGGAAATGGAGGCTGCAGGGCCAGTGGAGCAGGACACAAACTGCCCGTATCTCACCCGTCTACTGTCATATTTATCAGTGATGAAGGACATTGTGGTGATAGATAGAGCCAGATATGGGCAAAATCAATGAGTATTGTGAATGAGTATACCCTATATGCCATACTATATTCCATACTCCCACTGTTAAACAAACAAATACCAAATCAACATATCCACTCTGTTTCTCTGCAGGGAGACAATGGACCACCTGGGCCCCCTGGTTCACCAGTAAGTTTGTACTGGACTGTTAGATTGTGTAATACAAAACCTTTAGCATTTCATTTATCTTTATATCTATATTGTCCGTGACAATAGCGCTTTTTTGTTTTTCATTGTAGGGACTAAAGGGAGAGCCAGGAGAGCCCGGTCTTGATGGAGCAGCGGGAGAGAATGGCATTGACGTAAGTGAACTGACTTGATGTCGGTATTTGCTGTGTGTTTGAGAGAAAGGAAGAGAGTAAGACTGCAAGAAAATGCAAAAATAATTATATTAAGCTGTTTACCTAAAGAAACATTCTGAGAGGCTTAATGTTAAATCAGCTTAATAACGCCTAATAAGGAAAAGATAAAAAAAACCTTGAGGACACAAAGGTGAAAACATTCCCACAGGAATAGCAAGATCTAGCAACATTGCCAAATGTCTTCATTTTTAATATTAAAATGTCTCTAAGGATGTTTGGAGCCACGATCTATTGCTATAGTAAAAATCGAATCTGTAAGAAAAAAAAATAGTGACACTTTTTTTCTCAAATTGAGGGGATGTTGTGTGATGGATCAGCGTGGGTTATTATGAATAATATGACAAGAATAGCTATGAAACACAACAATGCAAAAAGATAATGAGATCCAACGTTTAAAGGTACCCTGCAGTACTTGTTGCACCATGACATGCATGACGACGCATATAGTATTATGCAGCATGAGTTTGGGGATAAACATTTGTTCTGACTGGAGAGGTTTTTTTTTGTTGCTCTGTGAGCTGATGATTTCAACCACTGCACATTTAGTACTCGGAAGCATTAAAGTTTGTCAAAACAATCAAAAGTCCACTTTTGCAGATGCTTTATGAAGTAGAAAATGTTTTTGAAATATTACACCTTATGCACACAATAGATTTTGATGAAAAATATGCACTGTAAACCAAACTGTCCACAATACAAAAGTCCACAGGGTACCTTTATGTCACTATAAAGTCAGTAAGGTTGGCATTAAAAATGTGATAACTTCAAATCAAAAGTCATCATCCTGTTGTTTTTAATTGAATGGCATATCTAAAGCATTTCTAATCTCACTGCTCCCTTTTTCCACTTCAAGGTTTATAATTAAACAAAGTCACTTCACAAATAATTAAGCTGCTGTACTTAAATCTACTGTACAGTTGAGTTATTTTTATCTTGAGGTATTCAGAAACTCCCTCAGTGGGCTGGGTCCCAATTTTCTCCAAACTATCGGTTTATTGTCAACACAGGGATTACGTTTTTAAAGCGTATTTTACCATTTCAGTCATAGAAATGTGCTTTTGAGGACTGAATTAATAGCTTTGTGAACAGATTATTAGACGTTCTAGATGACGAGGTTAATGCACTTTATGTGAAACCCATTATCCCTAAACCAATAACTATTCAATCTCTAGTAATGAGGAAGTGGAGATTAAGAAAATCAGATGAGTTTAAAGTGATTTTTTAACTTTGGGGCACTAACTGACTTACCTCATATTACTTCAATTGTGGTGCAGCTTCCGTTGCGGCTTCACTCTTGGTTGGTTGAGTGCCGATGCCTTTGGTCACATGCTAACAGAAGCACACACACACACACACACACACACATGCATTCCTCAGAGATTTAGCCGGTAATCCGCCCTGGAATCTCAATCTCTGGTTGTTTTCCTAATTACCTAAGAACAGTGTCAGCTTCGATCAAATGTATGATTAGCTGAATTGTAGTGTGAATTTAAGTCCCATATAACCTGTGGAAAGCCCCATGGTAACTGAATAATTAACATTTCAACCTCTTCCGTGTTTCTTTTTTTCCTTTTTTGACCTCCATAGACATGTCTAGCATATCGGCCTGCTAACAAGTCTCTCTGTCTGTCTCCAGGGTTTGATTGGAGCAAAGGGTGATCGAGGTCCTATGGGGAGCGCTGGGCCTAAGGCAAGTATCTAAACCTCCACCTGAAAAAAGATTAGTAGAACAAGTGCACCATTATAATGCTATTCTGTGGAAACCCTCAGCTTCCATATTTAACAAGGGTCACTTTTACAAGAAAGAAGTCTCTGGGTCATATTCCCAACATCTTGTCATGGTGATGTTGAGCATGCTTACAAGAGAATAAGTAACTGAGCATCAGGTCATCAAGTTGTGTAAGATCCTGTCACATGTAGCATGTCTCTACTACAGTTATATTGTTGTTTTCTGTTGCCTGCAGGGTGGACCTGGGCCAAGTGGCGAACCTGGACCTCCTGTAAGAACTATTTTTTTGTCTATCATTGTTTTGCTAATATAAAATACGATGAGTAAAAATCCAACATTTTGAATGAATGTCTTATGCTGTACACACAGTAGTGGAAGAAATACTCAGTAAAAGTACTATTTGAGTGCTAAGTTTTTAATGTAATAATGTTACATTATTAGATTGTTACCGATGTGTCCACGCAGAAGTAGCATTTCACTGGTTGGGGTGAGGCTAGTTTTAAGTACTTTACATATAGTTTAGTTTGGTCCAGTAGGTCCCAACTTGGGGGTCAGGCTAAGATTCTACTTTTTTTTTCATTCTGCTGGACAAAATTGTATTTTATTTCTGGGATATTTTTCTAATTGTTACTCTTCTGCAAAATATATGATAAGTTTGCCTTTTTTGGGTTCATTATATTAGCTTATATGTTGTTGTTTTTTAATGTAAAGTACAGAAGTAGTAATGGCATAAAAGTGTAGTAGTTTAGTAAATATACTTGCCTATTTATATACCTGAAAGGTACATTATGACTAATTAGATCACTTTTTATCGCACAAGGTTGTCATGGTACTTATGAAGATGAGTTATGATGGGCATAATTCGACATTGTTTAAAGCCTCGACATATTGTAACCCAGCTGGTCTCATAAGGCAACCTCCCGAGTCCTTTTCTCTCCATGCCTGAATGCCTGACCAGCTGTGCCCCCCTTTTGGATTTAGCTTACCCAGATGTGACATACGCCTTCTACAGATGAGATGAGCCGTATTTTCTACACATTCCTTAATAAAGAAGAAAGATGCCATCAAGGATTCGCATTTTAAGCACACATTATCACTAAATGCAACCGCTGTCGTGCAAATGCAAAGGCCAATCGATGTACCAGCACATCACCTGTAACACCACTAGGTGGCGCTCAGTGTCCATCTATCAGACAGCATCTTTCATATTCAGTCCAGAGTCATTCAATGTCATGCTTGAATGCAACACTATTAGTTAAATCCCTTGTTTAGCATTAACGGGCGTCCTGTCTCGTACACCCAGCTGCCTCATGCTGCACAGACTGGAGATCCTGCCCTGTGGGCTGTTCTTCCTCCAAGAAGGCTTACTGATTTAATTACTTTGTTTTATAATTAATTCCAAGCAAAGACAGAGCAAACATAAACTGATTGCGTTCTGTGTCTTTGCTCTTCTTGAGCACTGTTTACGCTGTACACTAGCATTATTGAATTACTGCTGCCATTATTAATTGGCTTCCACAAATGTTAATTGATGCTTTGACGGATTGGTTTCACTTGTCATACAGTAGTTTAACCCCTCGTCCCTTCTGTCCACGCAGGGACCCGGCCTTCCAGGACTGCCTGTAAGTAGCGTGCATGTTATAACACAGCTATGCCTTATCACTTAATGGCTTTGAGGTGTGGGAATACATTGTTGGCTGCTGGGACGTCTATGCATTGTTATTTCTTGCTCTCTGTGTCTCTCTATCTAGGGCGCTCCAGGGCCAATTGGTCTGCCAGGTGAAATTGGACCATCTGGTACAAAGGTAGGACACCATCTTCAGTTTATTATTCCACCTTCATGACTTGCAAATATCTCAAAGGCAGGTCTTACCTTACCCTTACCTTCTTAATCACAGCTTCTTTCCCTCTGCTTCATTTAGGGTATCGTGGGATCTCTTGGAGCTCCAGGACTTCCTGGACCTCCTGGCAAGCCAGTAAGTGTCCGCCAAGGACTGGTTGTCCAGGGTATATATTGCTCTGATTTTTAATGGAAAAAAAGATGATGTTAGTGGTGACATGCCTTGGGAAAACCTGCGATCAAGAGGTTGGAGAGCTTTTAAGTACCATGTAGTTGTAGTATGGATGGATGAAGGATCATTCTCTTTGCAGTACACAACAACATTGAACACGAGCTAAGAACAACTAGAACTACCCCCTGGTGTCGTGTTACACTGTGCAGGTATCCCTGTTATTTTGTCCACCCTGACACAAGCTCTACACCAAAGATATGCCGTGGTCCACAGTATCTTTCCCAAGAACACGTTGACATGCAATCTTGTGGTGCCGGGGATCAAACAGCCGATCTTCCAATTAGTGTCTTCGCTCAATCTTCTGAGATTGCAAGATGCTGTACATGCTTTTCTCAGCTCATCCTCCACATAATTTCCTCCCAGCTCACTGTTCGGGTATAAAATAACTGGGTAACATCAACAGTCATAACAGCACTGATATTAATATTCGAGACTTCATAAGATTTGAAAACCATATAGCCCAAATTCTTTTTTTTTGACATAAATATATAATAAACAAAAATAATATCAAAAATATTTGATAACGATCCCTTAATTTGGGTTTTAGTGTGCTCATCTTTCAGTACTACAAATAAACTTGTAATTTCCCTCTGGTGTTCAAACTATTTACTCAAAACATAATGTTTTGGCATATCTTTGCTGTAACTTCTTGTTGTATTGGCAGACATGCTAATATATCTGCAATATGCTTTTATTGGCTGATGCATTAACAGTATATAAAACTGCGCTGCTTGGATAAACTCAAACCTCATCCACACAAAAGATGTCACAGTAAATCACAGCACATCTGAAGAGTTTTTCATTCAGTGAGATTCGGTGACAACAGCTGAGAGACAAATGAGCTACCAGGAGCTCAATGGGCTCAATCTAGCATATAGTTACACCAATCTAATTGCAGTTTACTTATATCATTGAATGGGATCACTTCTGCCAAACCTATGTTGAAGTGAGCTCTGTTCTGCAGAACAAGCAGCAATTAACATGCTTTTAGAATGTACTGTATGATAACACAGCCAGAGCTCCCTGCTGCTCGGTTCCAGGTTCCAACAGACAGCAAGTGAGAAAATACCACAAACAGTTTCGTGCGGTACACTTTTCAAGTCTTTTTTTTCCCGTGGTGTATGTAGTCCCCTGTGTGCCAAACCCAGGGGAGTGCATTTGTTTAGCTTTAGCGCTATCCTAGCGTAAATAAACCCCCATTAGATCGGTGTCTCATCTGATTGTAGCAGGAATGCATCAGCCTGTGCAGATACTTCCCAACTCAATCTATAAACAGAGAGAAGGAAAGATGGAGGGAGAAAGAGAAGAGCTCAACTTTCTTCATCCATCTTACCTCTCTGTCCACTTGTCTGTCCATCTAGGGTCTTCCAGGGAAGTTCATTGGTGGAGAAGAGGGAAGTGCAGACTTCCAGGTAAGATCTAAAGACATCCACGTTATTACAAATCTGTTTGTTGACACAACTTCACTTTTCATAATCCATGTGTTTCCTTCTCCCGACAACAGTGTCCACTTAACTGTCCAGCAGGACCTAAAGGCCCCCAGGGACTGCAGGGAATCAAGGTGAGAAGTTGACAGTCCCCCTGAAGGAATAAGCATAGTTTTGATTATGTTATATAACAACATTGTATGACACCCTACTGACTGATTGTTGCCCTTTTAGGGACACAAAGGACGTGGTGGTGTTCTCGGAGAACCGGGTAGCATAGGAAAATCGGTGAGCTGCACAATCTCTTCTAAACGGATTCACACGTGCACTCAAATACACATACATGCACATGTCACACACTCGCCCACCATTCAGGACCAGCAGAGGTGAGGATTAGCTTTAATGAAGCCCCCCCCCCCCCAGAGGCACAGGACTGGCACTAATATGGCTGCGATTAGTCAGGCCTGGCCCGGGCCCTACAGTCAGCATGCAGCGCGCTAGATGAAAGGAGTGGTGAAGAGCCAGGTACATGAAGGGGAAGATGAGAGAGTCGGGGCTCGCACAGCCTTCTCACCTTGCTGAATTAAGCACAGCTAATGAGCGCACAGTGGGCTCCGAGGGAGAGGCTAGCCAGGCCCCAGGAATAGCCTCTGATCTTCTCACACAAGGTGCCTTAGACGCTCAAAAACACTCAACCCACCCAGTTACTGCTCCTGCAAGTCAGACCGGTATTTTAGAAGACCTGCTTTTTAGTCAAGGTTGACCTGTGGTGCTGCTCTTTTTTTCTTCTTTTTAGCAAGACAGCAAGCACGAGCTGTCTACATTCCCACAAGCTATATAAGCTAAAACCCAGATATCATCTATGATAAATATGCTTTATGATAGATAGACCAGCATCACATGTATTTTTAGACTGTTAAAAAATAAACTGGACTAGCTAAAAGTGGCTCGTGACCCGAGCTTTGTTACTGGACAGACATGACATGAAGCTGGTGAGGGTAGTAAATTAGATCACTGATGCTGGTAGACCAATACGATCAGCTCAAAAAATCATCATTGTTTTTTTTTTGTTCTTAAAGATCATAATCCAATTTGTGTTTTGTCAAATTCAGCGATTTATCACCTCAGAGTATGCGAGCTGTTTGAGCCCTGGCTCAGTATGAACAGATGAAGTGTCTCTGACTGATTCACACAAGACTATTTAAGTCCAATCTTTCTTCAGGAAAATGGCTAAATGAACTAATTTGTTGAATTTGTACACAAACAGGAATATAAGAACCACTAGTTGTTGCTGTAACACAGCGGCCGGCTGCACGGACTTTTCTGGAGTCTTAGTTCGTTGTTTGCCTGGCTTAGAAATAGTTACAGAAAACCACACCTTGTTCTTTTTTAGAGTTAATTAAGAAGCTTTAGAGGTGTTGGTATTTTTTTTTTTATCTTCTTTCAGTTATTTCTGCTAATCTCAGCTAATCCCCACCAGTCTCTGGCAATTAAAGAAACGGACATGACAGATCTTCTCATCTAACTCTTGGGAAGAAACCAAATGAGTGTTTTTCTCCAAATGTCCAATTCCATTAATAACACAGATAAGCCAGTTTGAAGGGGTTTTGGTCCCATAGTCCCGATGATGGTTATTTGACTAGCTTCTGGGGGGTGTTTGACAGTTTTTTCACCAGCTAGCTTTATCTGGCTAACTAGCTTGAGCTAGATTTGTAACAAGCTTGACCAGCAACATTATACAACCATCAAAGAGCAGTTTAGACATCAGAAGCAACCAGCAGCCACGATAGACTACTTTCAACAGTTTTTTTTCTGTCCGGCTCAGAGTTTCTTGGGTCAAACTCTGTGGACATGAAGTCAAAATAAAAATTCAGAGAATAACTAATCAGCCTGTTCTTTTTCCTTTCCTCCAACAGGGTCCCAAGGGAGAAGTGGGCATCTCTGGGGAACAGGGCATCCCAGGACCTCCGGTATGCGGAAAATTCTACTCTTTAGTCACTTTAGTCAAAGTTAGAACAACAGGTTTATGTTGCAGAACATAGTACTGTAGCATTTGCTCTATATCTGGGCTCTGTCCCACTCTGTTTTTCTTTGCTTCCTTCTCAGGGTCCGATGGGTCTGAGAGGTTATCCAGGAATGATGGGTCCTAAAGCAGAAGCAGTGAGTTCCACCCTTTTTTTTTTTCACAGTCACATCCAACTTTCTTTGTCCTCTTTCTCTTTGGGTGCAAAGCTGCCCTCATTCTGAAAGGAGCACCAAGGAGGCACTGCCAGACCTGCCCCCACTATACAAGCATCATCCGTTACCAGCAATGGGGACATATGGAAATGATGCTAACACAAATCTCTCCCCTCCTCTAATGAGTTGAGGTTGTCTGGGTCTACGGTGCCTCCATCTGTAGTTAATGATCCGCTGTAGCCATCCGTCTTACTGTTAACATTAGCCGCGTTAGCCAAGTTAGCGCCCCGGCTTAGTGCCAAAGAAAGAGTGGCTGGCTTTCTGTGTAGCTCCCATTAGTGAAGTGAGTTAAGCGCTAATTACCCCTTTATCACAATGAATAGTAGACTACCATGACATAGCATCCTCCCTGATCTGAAGTGATTGATGGCACTTTTTTTTTTGTTTTCCCGTAGGGGCCTCGTGGTTACAAGGGCATCAACGGACCTGTAGGAATACCTGGGCCTCCTGTAAGAACACACACATGCTAGCACACACAAATAGACGTGACTACTCATATTGAAACGGGTACCCACACTACACCTAAGCTACTCAAAGTCTCTCCGTTGTTTATAGGGTGAGGAGGGGCCTCAGGGACCACCCGGAGAGGCAGGAGACAAGGGAGACAAAGTAGGTGACTCTCCTTGTGTTTTCCCTTGAAGTTTATTGTCAAAGCAGGACAAAAAAAAAGATGATACATTCCGCAGAACTCAAAAGGGGTGACAGTGATCCTGATGTGCATTGCAAATACACTGACGCTGGTTTGGTTTTCTTCTGCAGGGCAGCCGAGGTATCCAGGGCCCACAGGGTGCGGTTGGCAAAAAGGGAGAGAATGTGAGTGAACACACAATTTTTGTTCATGCGCTACATACACAGTTGCGGGCGGTGTTCAGAGAGTGTGCCACATGAAGTCCACTGACTCATCTGCTGGCTTTTTCAGGGTCTGCCGGGTATTGATGGGAAAGATGGCACACCTGGTATTCCAGGGATCAAGGTAAGTTGTTACCAGCTGCGGTAATGATGAGAAACTTAAATCCCAGTAAAATCTGACAATTTATTCTTCTTCTGTTCTGTTTTTTTTTTTTGTTATCAGGGCAGCCCTGGCCAGGCTGGGATGCCTGGTCCTCCTGGTCCTCAGGGAACAGCGGTGAGTGGTCCTTCAGTGTTGCACATACAAATAAGTCTGTTTCTAAAGGCTTATTGTCACTCAGAACACGTAGGGGGGGGTCAATCTGTTCTCCTCCGCCATTCAACAAGGCCAGAAACCAGACAGGGAAAAAAAAACAGTGTGAAGCAGCCAGTAAATTTTGGTATGTTTTGTTTTCTGGGCACTCATCCAAACAACAGTGAACCTGTGACCCACACTGTTTTAGAATTTAAACCACCTTGAAATAGCATTCTCCCTCCCACCGCGAGTGATTTATCACAATCAGACCAGTGGGTATACTCTGTGTGTGTGTGTGTGTGTGTGGTTGCGCTTGTGTGTGCGTCATTCTGACTAAGGGGTAATGAAGCATGAGATGCACACTTTGCTGTATGTTCATTGCAGCGACATCAACCCTGCTGCAAACTTAAAACACCATAACTTACCCTTCTTTATGCCACACTGTGATATACCATCACACACACACACAGAATCACTGCAAGGGAACCTGCTGCAAGGTGTATGCCAGTAGCTGACACTGCAGCTCGGCCTATTTTCATAGTTATTATTATATAAGGCATCAGCATTATTACCACCCACTACCAGCACGCACATACTTTATATATCCACATGCATTACTAGTTGCATTTTCAGGTTCATTGTCTGTATTTCAAAATATGAAATAAACCGTACACCATGCTGTCAAAAAACAAGCTGCAGATGTAACTTGTTTTTTTCCTTTAAGTGATTTTCAGTCTTGTTAATTGTGTCTGCAGGGATTGCCTGGCAGCCCAGGGTCAAAAGGTGGACTTGGATCTAAGGTAGGCCATTTCATGTCATATGTTTAATTGACTTTTACTACTTTTTAAAAGAATTTTCCTGGTTTTCATTT